CCCTCAGACTGTCAAGGAATGTTGGCTGGATATTAAAGAATACTGTCAGGCTCACAGGGTTACTGACAGTTTGTCAAGTAGTATTTACAGGGTGTCAAGTAATAACGGTAGGGTCTTAGAGTATAATATTTGGATGACAAGCAATATTGAGAATACCAAGGAACACTGACCATGACAAAAATACTAGGAATGGGAGAAGCGTAAGTTCATATCTACTTCCAAAACTACACGGTGTCACAGCTCAAAAGATTAAAATTTGAACACTCACTGCCGTGTTAATGAGGAAACTTTCATGGTGCAATATTCGCACGTGAAAGTCTGATATGTGGGCGGTTATCTGCAGAGATAAACATGTGCAGGCTTATATAAACCCCAGGATCGCTCTGACCCTGACGAACTCACAATGAAGGTAACACTTCTGATTTGCCTCCTGGTGTTAATGGCACACACTACACAGTGCTACACAGTACATCACCTCATTAGGGCCCCAACACGGTGTCCCCAGGGGTACCGACCCGATTATTCGGGGATCTGCCGCAAGATTTTCATTTGGAACCACGGTGGATCAAAGGTAAGTACCATCATATTAAAACGAAGTTCGAAATTTTAAGGCATAGTGCGTCATTCTGTTGCTATTGGAGGATACTTCTTTACTTAAGCCTTGGTTAGGAATATCATCATCATCATCATCATCATCATGCTACAAGCCGGAAGGTCGCGGGTTCAAGTTCCCATGAGGTCATTGGATTTTTTTTTTTCAATTGACCTAACCCTTCCAGCTGTACTATGGCCCTGGGGTCGTCTCAGCCTCTAACAGAAATAAGTTTTTTTTTTCCTCGGCACTACAGCCCCAGTGGGCCTAGGCCTACCTCCATGAACTTCTCCGTTCACTTCGGTTTACTAGATCTTACACATTCGGTAAGACTCCTTGGGCGGGTGATCAGCTCGTCGCAAGGCCTCTACCTGTACACAAACACAGAAAAACGCACACAAACTAAACATCCATGCCCTGAGTGGGATTCGAACCCACGATCCCGGTTTCCAAGCGAGCGAAGACAGTACATGCCTTAGACCGCTCGGCTACCATGACCGGCAACAGAAATAAGTACCAGGAATTAATTAAATAATTTTCCTGGGAAGTAAAACGCGGCCGGAGCGTAAGGCTGAGAACCTTACCACCATCTTTGAGCCGATTGTCTAGATAATGTCGGACCCTCAACGTCTCACAACCCTATGGGCCTTCACGGCCTGTTACAGAGATATCTTTACTTTTTATGTTTAAACCCCATAGGTTCTATTCTGATCACAAGGTATGCAGTAATCCTGCGTGTACCGATTACAAAACTGCCTTGTCACTTCCTGCAAGGATGATAGAGATAGCGCTGAAGTGTATTTATAGATATCTTGTGATATGACACCATTATTTGTCTTACACCTCGAAGTAGATTTAATTTTCCTTGTTTTTACTACAGGAAATGAAATATGGATTATGTAATTTATATTTTAAAGTGGGTTTATCTCATTTAGGACATCTATGTGTAATGTACTGACAGCTTTATCTCCAATTATAGTTACAAAATTTAATTTTACGGTATTTATATAGAATTGATATGGACTTCGGTTTTAGCACTTCGTACCGGCCAGATGTGTGCAGTGTTTGGAGGCAGTAGGGACCTCTGAAACGCCGGCATCACTGCCAAAATTTACACGGTGCTAATACTTAACCCTCGAGGGTGCAGAAAATATGCATTGACAATAAATCGGAAAAATTTTCCACATCTACGCAATTCAAAAACCCAATTAGACCCTGAAGATGAAGATTTCATACACTCCCGAAACGTTTGTAACACTGCCGACAGTCAAAGGTGCCAAACCTCACTTCAGCACTGAAGACAGAGACAGAATGCATCTCTGAAACTTCAGAAACACATCTCACATTCATACGGTGCTAGGACTCATTTAGATCCTGATGTAGGAGGCGGGGTGAACCTTCGAAAATTCGAAACACTGCCCATATCTTCATGGTACAATAATTCAATTCTTCCGTGAAGGTGGAAGGAACATGTGTTTCCGAAAATTCTGAAACACTGGCCACATCACCGCGAAGCAAAAAAAAAAAAAAAAAATCGGACTTCGGAAACGTCGCTCAATACTGCTCATTTCCACACGATGAAAGGACTCGAGAGATAAATCAAGATCAACACTGAAAACCCGCAATCAACTTCTTTAATTTATTTGTAGTTCATACACTTGGTGTTAACAGTTTGTGGGCCTAAGTAAACCAGAGCTTGGTACGACTAATAATTTTTTTTTAATTCGCTTAGCGGGGGGTGGAGTCCAACTGGGTCCACTCGGCACGGCGGTCACTGATTAGCCTATTGTAGCCTGCCCCGGGTGATTATGATGATGGAGAATTTGGTGGAATGAAGATTGGCAGGGAAACCGAAATACTTGGAGAAAACCCGCCCCAGAGCCACTTTGTCCACCACAAATCCCACTTGACCATAACCGGGATCGAACCCTGGCCACCGCGTTGGGAAGCCAGCGACTTTTCGCTCCAGCTATGGCGCGGCAATTTGATACAACTAAATAAATAAACAAGAAGTTCGGGGAAGAACTAATTGCCTACTTTCCATTCGCTACAAATTGAGTATTTGAGACGACAATTTGAGAGGCTGTTGTCTTGGTATACTAATGAGAGGACTTTATGAATTGCGCCGTTGAGGTAGCCTCAGGCTGCAGGATATACATACCGAGTTTCATGAAGTTTGCGTCAGGCATTGAAGTAATACTGTTCTTGTGCTTTAGTTTTAGCGGCAGAATTTTATGTTTGACTTTGGATTTCGAAAATGAGACGCTTAGAAATTTAAGAACTTTTTAAAATTGTCTTCAAATGTTAAAGTAGGCATCATCATGGGCAATATGTTTGGAGGGGTTAGAAGACCCATATGGATCTAGCAGTGGGCAGTGTGTGGAAGGGAAAGCGTGATTATGTGGACTAAAGGACAGGGAGTACGTGGTTAAGAAGGAAATGAGATGACGAAAAAACTGGGTTGCATGAGACATTGCTGAATGCTAGGAATTCAGTTTATGAAAAAGAATGTTTCTTTACCGAAGCAGGATTTTTGTCTCTCACAACAGTGAATATAAAGAGTAATACATTTGGAATTTGACGTCGTATAGTCCGGTTGACGTTTATCGACGTTTCGGGAGAATGTAGTCTCTCCATTCTCAGAGTCAACGATTAAACCAAGAAAGCATCAAGCTTTTTTCCTTGAAGGATAAATCTTCTTACCGGTTGCTTTCTTGACGTGTACAGTTCCACCCTGAAGATGGAAGCAGTAAGTCCTTTTGAAGAGTTCGCAAACGACTAATACGAAAATACACGGCGCAACATCTCAATATATCGCATCTATTTCACATAATAACAAGGATATTCAGTCACTGTCACAGTAGCTTTCGTTTAAAACGTATGGACCCTGAACAATTATTTTGTTATCCACTAATTTAATCCCTTTCAGGCCGAAACGAAAACACTTCAACTTAACAGGGATAAGTAAGAGCAATTTAGGATATTACATAATGAGGCACTTCACAATTTGTGTAGGCCATCGAGCACTGTGAGTGCTGAAATGAGGGCGGATGCTGATCCTTGTCTTCTCCTGTCCAAATTTCTTTTCCCCTTTGCTTCCTTCTTACTATTTTATTACTGTTTCCCTTTATTCTTCATTATGTTTTCTCTTCCTTCTTTATTAAGCTTCCTTTTCATCCTTCCTCCTATATTACCTTCTCTTTCTCCTTTATTATCTTCTACCATTCTTCTTTATTACCTTAAACATTTCTCCCTCATTCCTTTTTCTCTCTCTTCCTCCTTCTCCTCTATTATCTTCTTTCCTCCTCCTTTATTACCTTCTCTTTCTCCTTTATTATCTTCTACCATTCTTCTTTATTACCTTAAACATTTCTCCCTCATTCCTTTTTATCTCTCTCTTCCTCCTTCTCCTCTATTATCTTCTTTCCTCCTCCTTTATTACCTTCTCTTTCTCCTTTATTGTCTTCTACCATTCTTCTTTATTACCTTAAACATTTCTCCCTCATTCCTTTTTATCTCTCTCTTCCTCCTTTCTCCTCTATTATCTTCTCTCCTCCTCCTTTATTACCTTCTCTTTCTCCTTTATTATCTTCTACCATTCTTCTTTATTACCTTAAACATTTCTCCCTCGTTCCTCTTTACCTCGTCCATTTGCTTGTCTTATTGACTTTGGTCATTCCTTCTCTTACTTCTCTCTGATTTCATTTACTTGTACTTCATTTAACGACGCTGCCAGTATCTAAGCGTGCCGAATAGTATGACGGTTTGCAAGTAATAATTTGGAAAATGCGCGGATGAAACAATCGTAGTGTAACTGCAGACACGAACCCCACATTTTCTGGAGTAACCGAGGAAAAGTAACAATAATTTCAATCATGACAGTAGGTGTCCCAGCTGAGATTCGAACCGAGTACCACCAGAACTCAGAAGCGTTACCATTACTCACTGTCCTGGCCGAGGTTTCTCTTCATTTTTCGCAGTTCCTCTAGGCAATTGTCAATTTGTCCACGATCGCTTCCTTTCAGATCCGTTCCATTTCTCCAGTCACCCTGCAATTCCACAATATATAGCCTCGATACTAAGTACGTCGTAATGCAAGCCACAAAAAATTTTCCTCTACTCTTTATTCTTTCTCCCCTCGTCATTCGTCTGAGTCTTCTCTATTCCTTTTCTACTTGTTCTGCATATCCTTCCTCTTATCCTGGCCTCATTCTTCTTCGTGTCCCTGTTTAAAGCACTGTTCCACTCAATTGTGGGTAGTTGAGCCCCGTAAAAGGGTTAACTAAAGCAGCAAACATGCAGAATGGCCTCGTCTTTGTTATAATAGAATTGCCCAATAGAGAAACGCAGTTGATGGGGAGTCAAGAGACTCACGTCCCAATGACAATTTTCCTCATCCTGTGTTCAAGTACCTCGTAGCCCTGCCAGCACGCAGACAACAGCATTTCCGTCCAGTCTCAGCCGATCAGTCGCCCGGGTGCTGTTAATTTTCTTCCACGCTGTCACTACCAGGTGTTTCTGTGAGTACTTTGTGTGGTGGGTTGTAGTGTGCATAGGAGAAAGGTTGCCAGGGTCCAATTTATCGAAGTCTCTCTCATAATAATAATAATATGAATTTTTCTTCCACCTGAATTTATATATTTACACTTACAGATCATCGAAATAGAATGTCAGGATTATAAAAAGCTATAACTAAAAAATTATTAAAGAAATCGACATGATTCCAGCACTAAATTGCTAAGAGATGTCTCAAATTATCTTGCTTTAATATGTTTAGGTATGTGCTTCATTTGTCGCTCGACTCATATCGATTCTCTATTCGGTCTTGTCTGGAATTGCAGTATCGATAGATACTGTGATCCTTTACTGTTGGTGATGGAGACCACGAATTGCCTCAGTATACAAAATATTCTTGACGTAACCCACAAAAAAGCCAATCGTGTTAAGATTTGGGCTTCTGATGGAAGAAAACTTTGGTTCGCTCCCCCCCCCCAAATCCAGGCGTTGGGAGGTTCTAATTCAGGGTTTTACACTCAGACTGGCAAAAATGAGGAGCTGCTACTCCTATAAACTGAGCACATCAGAAACATACTTTGTATGCCCGGATATTAATATTTTAACAATTTCGATATTTTTATTAATTTTTTAATGATAAGCTTTCATAATACTGGAACTATTTTTCGATGATCCTGCATTTATTTAATAAAAATGTATTTGAACTTATTCTAGGGTATCTAATGTTGGGGAATTCTGAACAAAATTAAATATTCAGTTAAGTATGCTAGCTTCTGGGATGCGACAACATTTTATTTTTCCTTGGCACTACAGCCCCAGTGGGCCTAGGCCTACCTCCATGAACTTCTCCGTTCACTTCGGTTTTTCTAGATCTAAGATATACGGTAGGACTCCTTGGACGGGTGATCAGCTCGTCCCAAAGCCTCTACCTGTACACAAACACAGAAAAACGCACACACACAAACTAAACATCCATGCCCTGAGTGGGGTTCGAATCCACGATCCCGGCTTCCTGGCGAGCGAAGACAGTACACGCCTTAGACCCCTCGGCTACCGTGACCGGCTGCGACAACATATACTCTGTATGAATTCACCGACGTTTCGAGAAATATTGCCTCTAACTTCAAGGATAGAATCTAAGCTTATCGGGCAAACCAAATACAGCAAGCAGTAATGAGACATTGCAGGGTTTTCTTACAGTTGTAAAGTTGCCCTATGCTTAATTAATTAAGCAGTACCCCATTAAGACATATGGGGATAATGAAACTGTAGCTCCACCTTTTCTGCCCTCGGTATTAGGTTGAGGTGTCAGCTTTACGCTCCTCTCGCTTTACCACCGGAGAATGAGTTCCAGACACTGAGGAGTAGAGAAAAAGAATCATATCCCTTACGCTAATCGATCCCTGACTCCACGAACTTCGACCCCGTTGCTATAACGAGTTTGTTTGCTTGTGAGACTTAATCTTAACCCTGATGTTAGGGAGTGTGTGTTCCTTAGAAACTCCTACGCATGTGCATGGTGTGGCATGCCAGAAGCTGACAATCTTCGTAAGCAGAGACGTGAGGATCAGTTGTTCACGAGAAAGATTGCAATTAGGAGGAAAACAAATATTTTGAACGCTTTCATTCATGGTGTGTTTCCTGTGTAAGATCTGAAAATAGCACAATTCATATACTGATTTATCAGTGTTTCTTGTTTTGAATCATCCGTTTTGTACGATACCTATGAGAGAACATTAAAATGTAACATGAAAACCTTGAGGCATGAATAGAGAATACAGCAGAATTGTTAAAATATTCATATATTTCCAATCTTTCTTTTATTGTTCTTTATGACTGTATTTGAAAATAATCCATTTTCAGTGTAAGTAAAATATTTCAGGAGTGGATATGCGAGTTCGCTTGATGTAGAGCCCTTTCGTGTTTTGTTCTAGAAACTATGCAGTGGAGGTATTGGATGGCACTGTTAATTCTAGTGGCCATGTTACCGATTATGTACGCCAATCCTAAAGTTGTTTTAGGAGGACTTGCTGGCAGAAAGACGCAATGGTGCCGACGCGGACAAGGGCGATGCATCTAACGTCGCGGCACACAAACGGTACGTCTCAAAAAGTCGATTGAATAAACTTCGAGATCAATAGCTACATCAGTTATTTTTTTCATGGCTTCATCTGCTGTTTCTAAGACAGGAACTATGTTTTACAGAAATGAATTGAAAGATTTGAGGCTAATATTATGGGTGTTTCTTTAACTGAGCGGAAGTACATAGTGATAACATTTTAGATCTCTATTCCAAAAACCCTTGGTTTGAATATTTGCCCCCATATCGACTATCTTCATTTACGTTTCTTAGCTGTTCTTAGGCTCTCCTGGCAAATACAGGGGTTAGTGTCCCTAACAGATCACTACCTTTTCCTTCCAAATCCTTTCCAATTCATTCTTCACCTTTTTTCCCACCATTCGACTCCTTACGTTTTAGATGCAGACAGAGGAAAAGTCATAAAATCTGTCACAAATGGAAGTAACACAGCTGTAATGGACGTCATATTGTTTTATATGTGTATCACTAGGTAGCAGCACAGTACAGTTTCATGACAATCTAGATAGCAGACTCGCATGCGCGGGTTCAGAGGCTGGTTTCAGCAGTCAAAATGGCGACCATACTTGAGAAGTATTCCACCGAAGAGCACATTCCTTTTGTGCGTTTCCTGTGGGCAACAGGACTCAATGTAAAGGATATTCATAAATAAATATTTCCCGTTTACAGTGGGAAGTGTTTGTCGCGTAAAGCTGTTCACAACTCAGTCGAGAAATTATCTTAAGGACGCTCGAAAGTCGCAAATAATGCCCGACAAGTTGAGGAAGTGGTCGAGATAACAGTCAAAAGATTGATATTTTGCGAGTTTCGACGCGCTGGCAAAGCGATTGGTAAAGTGTATCGGTTTTGGTTGAGGATATACAAGGAAATTAATATCTTTCTTTTTTTCATTTTCGAATATCACGTGTTTTACGTTGATATCAATTTGTGATCTATTTCCCGACTCTCCGCCTTAAATAAATAAATCTCTGCTTTAACATAATTTGAAGCATGAACTGCAGAAAACGGCGAAGCTCCTCTCCGTACGCCGAAAGAATACATCGGTAATAACCAACGTTTGATTAACCGGAATCTTAATTGAACAATAAACCTTCAAGGAAAACGCTCCGTTAATTAAATGATACCTCATGTATAAAGGGGATCATACTGCGTTAACCCGAAAGTAATATTCTGTTTAGTGTTAATGCCTTCAGTAATACGACGCTGTGCAACATGATAAATAGTTGCCAAAGTTTCGGAGGAAACTACGCTTTCCATTTTCACTGTAAGATCTTTCAAATCTTTGGTACCAATTTACCACACTACACGAGTCACATCTCATAACGCAGCAATCTTCAAACTTACAGTTGTGATAATCTCATATAAATTACTAATAGTTGAATTATTATACAGACAAACATTTAATAAAACACCTCATTATATTAAAAATACAGAAGTTTGAGAAAACTAGCAATGTGCATACGGGGCACATAAGACAAAGCCATCAAGTGGTGCCACCATCGGCGCTCCCGCGAACTCTTTGTAACTGCCGGTGAGAGGAGGTTACCTTACATTTTATTTATATAAATGGAAGTATTTTAGAGCTGTAAATAATATTCATTAGTAATTATATTTATATCTCGAAATCATAGTTAAAGTCGTTTTATTATTTGTGACGGGGGAGGATCAAGTGATTTTGGCCACATCAACGGTTCCTAACACTAAAAGCATTTGGAAGCAACTAGATTATGACAAAACTCGAACCTAGATCCTAATGATTTTAATATTCCGCGTGAAACGTGCACTCTTATTGAGGAGAAATCTACTTGTTTCCTGCTAGTTGCTTGCGTGACTTGCCCTTAGAAGCATTAGGAGACCACGCGACGACATATCTCAGAAAAAAAAAAACTCTTCATATTCACCCAACGAGGGTCTCAGTCCCAAAATAAAATGAAAGACAGGCTCCGAGGTTCTCACAGCGGTGGTTATGAAGAGTTCGCTCTTCTAGGATATGACGCCGTGTAGTCCGTTGAAAGTCAGTCGACGTTTCAGGAAAATATGTTACCCTTACTTTCGAGGTCTAAATATAGGCAATAAACCAGCTTCAAGTAGATAGCAAGCAGGGTTTTGCTTCGACCCTGAAGATGGGGAGGGGGGAAATATATTACTCCGAAACGTCGGTTGACTTTCAACTGACTATACCGCGTTATATCCCAGAAGATAGAACTCTTCATAAAAATAATATTCAGCATGGATTGTTACTGTATTATATGTCATATATTGCTATTTCTGACTTCGAATTTCAAAGCAAAGATTCTTTATTCAACCCACATGTCTCTGTTTTCCCAGTAATTACAGGCTTTCTTTATTGCTAGTGGTGTGGGACTAAGTCCCTTGTACTGCGGCCACTTCTGGCCTATTGTACCAGCCCCAGATGATAGGTGAGGGTGATTGTGGAGCAATTGGTGGAATGAAGATTGGCAGGGGAAACCGAAATACTCGGAGAAAACCTGCCCCAGCGCCATTTTGTCCACCACAAATCCCACTTGATCAGACCCGTGATCGAACCAATTACAGGCTTAATTAATTGAATATAAATTTCGCATTAAACTGAATTTCCTGTAGTTCTATCAGAAACGCATTACCAGGAAGTTTGACAATATCAGCTTCTATAATCCATTTCGAATGTGGTTAATTACTGCAAGGGTATTGTTAACCTTGAATATATTAGAGGCATACACTTTAAGATAATTTCAACTTCCTTCCTCTCGGCTACTTCACTTTTAATTATTGCCTTATCATCAACTGATTACGACACATTTTCTTTTCTGTTATGTAACATTACTTATTCAACTTCAGCCTGAACACGTTTCTTTTGGCTAAAGGAAGAAGACTTGTGCAGTTCATAACATTTCTAAAACCTTGCATAAAACTTACTTCTGTGTTAAATATCTGCCAGTAAACAGAAAACATCTACTTTTGCCGTGTATAAAATAACGCATTTTGTAAAATTGAATCTCTTCCGAAGTGTGCCTTAAATTAAAGTAAACAGTCCATTTAATATCGACTTCATACCGTGGCCGACCAACATGACGAAATCTGTGAAGTTTCTCTTCCTGGGGATCCTTCTGTTCATCGGAATTGTGTTACAATTTAGTCCCTCAGCTGAAGCAAAGCCCATACAATTTCCTGAAAGGAACAATAAGCCAGTGACTTCAGCACCCTCTGTGGAGACTCAGGGAAACAAGAAATGTCCCAGAGGTTATCGTCTGGTTCATGGTAACTGCCGGAAGGCATACGGTTGAGTTTGATTACGAAGTTCCTTGGAGGTACGTACAGAATTCATACGATATCTCTGCTTCATCATATAAGTAAAAGTAAAGTAAAGCTATCCCTGTAACAGGCCTCGGAGACCCATAGGGTTGTGTGACGTTGAGGGTCCCATATTATCTAGAAAATCGGCTCAAAGATGGTGGTAAGTTTGTCAGTCTTACGCGCCGGCCGCGCTTTACTCCCCAGGAAAATTCCTGGTACTCATTTTTGTTAGAGACTGAGTCGACCCCAGGGCCATAGTGCGGCTGGAAGGATTATGTCAATTGAAAATAACCAATGACCTCATCGGGACTTGAACCCGCGACCTTCCGGCTTGTAGCATAGTGCCTCAACCAACTACGCCACCGCGTGACCCCTTTCTCATGTAAGGAGTATGAGCTAATGATAGCGAAGATGTTCAAGCTCGTGATTTTGACTTAAATATTAATATGTGTTTTGTTTTGTACTTACGTCTGTGTGTTTAACTTCATGAAGCTGTACCCTATTTGAGAAGCCACCAGTTGTGCAGCTACTCGAGAGTTTGCAAATATTTTATGAAATCCGAATGTTCATTATCGTGTTCACAACAGCCTTCCACTGGTCCTTATCCTGAGCAAGATCAGTCCAGTCCATATCAACTAATCCAATCTCTCTAAGATCCATTTTAACATTTTTCACCCACCTACATCTTGGTCTTCCTAGTGACTTTTTTCCATATGACTCTACCACCAAAATCCTATATGCATTCTTCTTCGCCATTCGCGCTACATGCCCTGTCCATCTCACCCTCCTTAACTTGATAATTCTAATTACACTTGGAGAAGAGTACAAGTTATGAAGCTCCTCATTATGCAGCTTTCTCCAACCTCCTGTCACTTCATCCCTCTTCGGTCTAAATATTCTCCTCAACACCCTGTTCTCAAACACCCTCAGTCTATGTTCATCCCTTATTGTCACAGACCAATTTTCGCACCCATACAGAACCACAGGCAAAATTATAGTTTTGAACATTCTATATTCTAATCTTTACGTTTCTAGACAGCAGACGAGCTCCATATAATACGTAGATATATAAAAATTCCACGAGCCGCTTGGGTTTCGATCATTATCTGTATACGGATGCATGCTAACACACTATTTCAATGAAAACATATTGCTTTAAGTTGATATAAATAGAAAAAGTAGATACGTTTATTAAATTGGTTCGAAAATAGGAAAGGAGACACAAGCAAAAAATATGAACAAAATGACGTCACAGTAACCACTGCCGGGAAGTATCAAATCGCGTGTTACATGTTTCTTAACAAATTGAGATTAACAGCAAAAGTTGATAAAAGCTAGCGGAAATGACGTCATTTCTCACATGGCGCAGTTGCCTTATAAATTTTCCAACTTCCGTTACGTCTTTAAACTTGATGAATCTTGTATTCGTCTCCCATATAGAAAGTGAATTACAGAATAGTTTTTAAGTTTTTTTTTTATTTTCTGCTTTTAAATACGAGGATTTACATGCAGAATTATTTAATATTGTATATTAATGTCTGTTGTTTAATATTTCTGTATTTTCTTCGGCTCTCGACGTTGTAGGGCAGTTGTGTTATAGCGATACTTGTGTTTCTGGAACCACGAAAACGAATTGTGTCAATTTATTTTACCTCGTGGTTGCTCTAACTATGACAGTGATAACATGGTCAAGGTCTCCCACCGAAGGGTACCCGCTTAACTGTCCCAGAAGAAAAACTGCCAAACAGCGTTGAGGCAGATGACAAAGTAAGAGAAGAGTCAAGCGACACGAACTCCTGTTCTTCCGGGAAAAGTCTCTTTAAAGGAATTTGTTTTACCCAATACGCTCGTTGATTGCTTGTGTATAAGTGTGTAGCCTGGTGGAGGTGGCGTCAGAATATAATCGCTTTAGTGTGAAGTTCTGTGAAGATCTAATCGCCTACTTTCATTTGCTACGACACGAATCGCATAGAAAACGACGCCTTCAACAATTCTTTTGTTTTGTATATTCGTTGCTGCAGTAACCTTCTATCGAGGCCGCGCCATAGCTCAAGCGGTTAGTCGCTGGCTTCCCACCGCGGCGGCCCGGTCCGGTCATGTGGGATTTGTAGTGGACAAAGTGGCGCTGGGGCAGGTTTTCTCCGACTACTTCGGTTTCCCCTGCCAATCTTCATTCCACCAATTACTCCACAGTCACCCTCACCTATCATCTGGGGCTGGTACAATAGGCCAGAAGTGGCCGCAGAACAAGGGACCTAGTCCCACCCCACTAGCAGTAAAAGAA